CTTCTTCTTCTTCTTCTTCCTCTTCTTCCTCCTCTTCCTCCTCCTCCTCTTCTTCCTCCTCTTCTTCTTCCTCCTCTTCTTCTTCCCTCCTCTTCTTCCTCCTCCTCTTCTTCTTCCCTCTTCTTCTTCCCTCTTCTTCCTCCCCCTCTTCGTCCTCCCCCTCTTCTTCCTCCCCCTCTTCCTCCTCTTCCTCCTCTACTTCTTCTTCCTCTTCTTCTTCTTCTTCTTCTTCTTCTTCTTCTTCTTCTTCTTCTTCTTCTTCTTCTTCTTCTTCTTCCTTTTCTTCCTCCTCCTCTTCTTCCTCCTCTTCTTCTTCCCTCTTCTTCTTCCCTCTTCTTCTTCCTCCTCTTCTTCTTCCTGTTCTTCTTCTTCCCTCTTCTTCTTCCTCCTCCTCTTCTTCTTCCCTCTTCTTCTTCCTCCCCCTCTTCTTCCTCCCCCTCTTCTTCCTCCCCCTCTTCCTCTACCTCTTCCTCCTCCTCTTCCTCCTCTTTTTCTTCCGCTTCTTCTTCCTCTTCCTCTTCTTGTTCTTCTTCTTCCTCTTCCTCTTCTTCTTCTTCCTCTTCCTCTTCCTCTTCTTCTTCTTCCTATTCCTCTTCTGCTTCTGCTTCTTCCCTCTTCTTCTTCCATCTTCTTCTTCCTTCTTCTTCTCCCCTCTTCTTCTTCCCTCTTCATCTTCCTCTTCTTCTCGCTTCCCTCTTCTTCTTCCTCCTCTTCTTCTTCCTCCTCTTCTTCTTCCCTCTGCTTCTTCCTCCTCCTCTTCTTCTTCCCTCTTCTTCTTCCCTTTCTTCCTCCCCCTCTTCTTCCTCCCCCTCTTCCTCCGCGTATTCATCCTCCTCTTCCTCCTCGTCTTCTTCTTCCTCTTCTTCTTCCTCTTCTTCTTCCTCTACCTCTTCCTCTTCTTCTTCTTCCTCTTCCTCTTCTTCCTCTTCCTCTTCTTATTGTTCTTCTTCCCTCTTCTTCTTCCCTCGTCTTCTTCGTTCTTCTTCTTCCCTCTTCTTCTTCCCTCTTCTTCTTCCTCTTCTTCTCCCCTCTTCTTCTTCCTCTTCTTCTTCTTTTTCCTCTTCTTCTTCCTCTTCTTCTTACTCTTCTTCTTCCTCATCTGCTTCCTCTTCTGCTTCCTTTTCTTCTTCCCAATTTCTTCCTCCTCTTCTTCTTCGTCTGGTTGTTGCTGTTGTTGTTCTTGTTGTTGTTGTGCAGGTCGACAGCGTGGAGCACCGCTATTGCGCCCAGGTGGTTGTGGTTCTGGTTGTTGTAGTGGTTGTTGTTGTTGTTGTTGTTGTTGTGTAGGTCCACAGCGTGGATCACGGCTATGGCACCCAGGTAAGTGACGCAGGTATGGCCTCCGCCTGTCTTCTTCTTCTTCTTCTTCTTCTTCTTCTTCTTCTTCTTCTTCTTCTTCTTCTTCTTCCTCCTCTTCTTCTTCATCTTCTTCATCTGGTTGTTGCTGTTGTTGTTCTTGTTGTTTTGTGCAGGTCGACAGCGTGGAGCACGACTATGGCACCCAGGTGGTTGTGGTTCTGGTTGTTGTAGTGGTTGTTGTTGTTGTTGTTGTTGTTGCTGTTGTTGTTGTTGTTGTTGTTGTTGTGGAGGTCGACAGCGTGGATCACCGCTATGGCGCCCAGGTAAGTGACGCAGGTATGGCCTCTGCCCCTCTTCTTCTTCTTCTTCTTCTTCTTCTTCTTCTTCTCCTCCTTCTTCTTCTTCCTCTTCCTCTTCTTCCTCTTCTTCTTCTTCTTGTTCTTCTTGTTCTTGTTCTTCTTCTTATTATTCTTTCTCCTCTTCTTCTTTGTCTTCTTCGTCTGGTTGTTGCTGCTGTCGTTGTGCAGGTCGACAGCGTGGAGCACGGCTATGGCGCCTATGGTGCCCAGGTAAGTGACACAGGTATGGCCTTCGCCCCTCTTCTTCTTCTTCTTCTTATTATTATTATTCTTCTTCTTCATGTGGTTGTTGTTGTGGTTGTTGTTGTTTTTGTTGTGCAGGTCGCCAGTGTGGAGAACAGCTATGACGCCTAGAAAAGTACCGATGACGCTGCGATGTGTTGTTGTTGTTGTTGTTGTGCAGGTTGCCAGTGTGGAGCACGGCTATGGCGCCCAGTTAAGTACCGCTGACGCAGGTATGGCCTCCCCCCCTCTTCTTCTTCTTCTTCTTCTTCTTCTTCTTCTTGTGGTTGTTGTG